CAAAGCAATTAGGGCAATGATCATACTTCATAGTAATATACTGATCAAGAAGACATAAAATAATGAAAACCAGCGGTATTTGCGACCACCCGGTGACAGACTATGAATCATATAGTATGTTTTCAACAATAATACAACCAATATTAGAAAAAATATGTTCTTCTCCTTCTCCACAAGAACTTCCCAGCCACCACAGAAAGTAATAAAATACAAACATTAATTACCGAATAACACTAGGCTTTTCATAGATATTAAAAAACACAATGACTAATTCTTAATATGACAAGGTATATTTTATTTATTTGTCTGACGTCTAAAGACCTTGATACCCTCCTAATGTGCAACATTACATGCAAATATTACATATTAAACATATTCACTGAGGGTAAAATAAGGAATCATACTAATACAATTATATAAAATATCAAATGAAACGTATTTTGGTGTACAATGCGTTTCTGATAAAAAAAAAGACAGAAATCCATTGAAAACCAGTTTTATCTAAAAATTAATTGTACAAAACATGTGTAACCCATCACTCTTACCATGAAATCAATGCTTTATTTCATATTTTTATGTGTGCTCATTCTTTTCAAAACATCTGAAATCACATCTTCGTTGATTTCTACGAGATCTACGTACAGTAATTACAGTTTATTAAACAAACTTGGATCAAAATTATATGTGGTAAATTGAAATCAATCGGGGTAAAATATGAAAATATGGGTGAAAATAATCAGATTATCGACAACATCATAAATCAATGACTATGTATAGGAGAAACTAAATAACGAAAATCACGTGTGACTAGTCTCTAAATAATAATATAAAATACAATAGCGATAAATCACAAACAGTAGCACAAATATAAAATGATAACAGCTTCTCAGATAATCTTAGCATTTAGAAGTGTGCCGCAATAACAAACACTTGGGGAATTAGTATACATTCATAGAAACGGATACATGTAATGAATTTCAATGTGTATGTATGACCCGTGTATATCAGATTTAATGAAGTCGCCAAAGACTTCGACCATATGAATATTGGTACATTCGTTCAATAAATCACGGCTCACTTGTTAAATATAGTATTATATAGTATATAATAATGAATAATGCAACAATATATAATTATGAGCTCATATATTTGTCATCAAATAATCAAGTTTGCACAGAAATGAGTTCTTATAAATGCGCAAATTACAGTAAATACCCGAATATTCTAAGATTCATCCGATTATTTTAC